ACTAATTTTCATGGAAATGTGTTACTTAGTTTCAAATTTGGGGGATGTTTTCCAGTTGTCTTTCATTTATTGATTTCTAGATTAATTTCATTATGGTCAGGATATTCTTTAGTTTTATTTTACTTTAAGTTCTGGGTACTTGTGCATAGGTATACACCTGCCGTGGTGGTTTGCTGCATCCATTCCCCCCGTCACCTACATTAGATATTTCTCTTAATGTTATCCCTCCCCAATTCCCCCACCCCCTGCTATTCCTCTCCTAGCCCCCCAAACCCCCCAGCAGGCCCTGGTGTGTGATGCTCCCCTCCCTGTTTCCATGTGTTCTCATTGTTCAACACCCACTTATGAGTGAGAACATGTGGTGTTTGGTTTTCTGTTCTTGCGTCATTTTCCTGAGAATGATGGTTTCCAGATTCATCCATGTCCCTGCAAAGAACATGAACTCATCTTTTTATGGCTATATAGTATTCCATGGTGTATATGTGCCACATTTTCTTTATACAGTCTATTAGGTCAGGATATTTTTAATATGACTTGAATACTTTTAAGTTAGTTGAAACTAGTTTAGAGCTCAGAATATAATCTACCTTGGGTAAATATTCTAAGACACTGGCCATACAATTTAAGGATGCGTGTCCTGCTCTTGTTTGGTAGACTGTGGTTTAAGTGTCACTGATCAGGTCAAGTTTGTTGATAGTTTTGCTGGAGGCTTCTCTATCCTTGCTGATTTTTTGGCTACTTGTTTTATGAGTTACTGAGGAAGAAGTGATGAAATAGGAGAGTACAATTGTGGGTTTTTCAATTTCCCTTTGCTGGTGTGTCAGTTTTTGTTTCAAGTATTAATATTTGGAAGCTCTTAAGTACATACAGGATTAGGGTTGTTACATATATTCTCTTGATGAATTGGTTCCTTTATCTTTACAGATTATATTTTCCTGTCTTTGGGCATGCCTAGTTATTTTTTATTGTATGTCCACATTATAAAACTTTATCTCATTGTTGAGTTTTGTTCTGGGATACTGTTAAGCTGCTTGGAAGCAGTAGAGTCTTGCTTTTATGCTGTTTCAGATGGCATTCAAGCAATGTTTAATCTAGGACTAGACTTACACCATTACTATGGTGTATCCCTTCTGAACACAGCTTCCTATGCTTCAGGTTTTCCACTCTGATTGGTCAGAACAGGCACCGTCCCAGCCCCATATGAGCCCCTGGGATTGATTTCCCTCTTCTTTTCCAGTAGCTCTTTTCCCTGCCTTGGGTTGTTTCCTCACACACCTCCGCTGATCAGTACTCAACTGAATACTCAAGGGTAACTCCAAAGATCTCCAGAGTTCTCCTCTTCCCTCTCTGAATCTATCTTCCCTGGACATCTGCCATCTGAACTCTAGCACCCTTGGCATCTTTTCAACTCAAGGAAACACCAAGGTTTGCCTGGTTTTCCCGCCCTGTGAGGCAGCCTGGAAACTTTTTTAAGATATTGAGCTGGGACAATTAATAGAGTTCACCTCATTTGTTTCCCAAATCTCAGGAATCACTTTGCATCATTGCCTGTTATCCAGTAGCATGAGAACAATTGTTTCATGCATTTTTGCATGGCTTTGTAGTTGACTCGTGTAGAAAGGGAAAGCTGGAAGTGAAAGTCAAGAGCTGGGATTTTGTACAAACTGGCTTTTAGTGCATTTTTGATCATACTCAGAAAACCTTCTGTAGGCTAGGTTCATGGACAGCCTGTCCACAAAAGTGGCTGCTTTTTTGGGACTGTGTTTTTCATCCTTGCTGCCAGAGCCTCTGCCACCTGGGCAACCTTGTGCAAGTTATTTAGCAACTTAGTAGTATGAGGTGTTCAGAACGAAGAAAGAAGAATGAGCTCATTTTGGGATCTTGAATCTACTGCTTTATTATGTATTGTATTTTAGATCTTTTGTTTCTAATCTAGTTGGTTAAAGGTTTTAGTTTTTTTATATGGAATTTCTGCTTTTAAGGATAAACATTTAAAAGAAAATTAAATGTGAAATGTTTGTATGCACAAAATACTTCTAATTACGAAAGCAAAAGAAATGTCTTAAGCAGAGCATGGCATTTTAATTTTCACTTATGAACATTCAGCCAATTAATATACTTGATATTTTTCTTCTGCCTCATAGATTCTGTGATATAAAGACTAATGATGGTTTTCATTTGTAAAGTAAGTTTTACTGCCTAATAAAGCTAGGTTTATAATTTTAATGAAAGGAAATTCTTTAATTTTGTTTATGCATAATCAGATGTGCAGCTGCTAGGAACAAAATTTATCCATTAAAAAATCCAGTCTAATAAAGGAACTATCATTGTTTATTTTTAACAGGAAATCCAAATCAAGAGAAAATATCAAATCCAGATTTTTAAAAACTAGGAAATAAATGTGTGATGTTTATGCAATAGCTTACCTCTTGTTTTTATGGCAGGTCAAACTTTGGTTGTAATTTATCAAAATATTCTGTATTTCTGTCCTCCAATATCATTATTACCTAACCTGACCATCAACTCATGAGACAGTTTAACAGTGAAAGTAGATGCAGCTCTCCAAAGATTATAATAGATTTCTTGAAGGTGGAAAGACTAATTTCTCCTCTGAGAAAAGGCTTTTGTTTTTGTTTTGTTGTCATTTAAGAAAAAAAAATTCTTGGTTTACAAGGTAAATGATATTATTTTTATTTGACAGTTTTGATTAATGGAAAAAGGTAGTGCATTGCTTATTTTGTGTCTCACTTGTAGGTATCTGGATTCGCAGATGAGTCTGCCTATCTTTCAGGCAGCTGATCCAGATATATTTCAGCATTGTTACAGTCAAACTCTCAAAATCCACCTGTTTCACACAGTCATTCTGATATATTAGGCTTTAATACTGCTTTGCTAGAATCTAAGGCAATTTGACATTTATAATAACCTCAGCCTGTTTTCTAAATGGATCATCATTACATTTAGCTTGAATGGCCTTCAACAGTTCTCTGAACTAATCTGTGTCCTCTTTTGCCACTTAGAAAGAAAATCGTTTGCAATAACCCAAGTTTTATGAGTATACTTATATCCATGTAGGAATAGAATATTCTCACCCCTATAATATTTAGTTCTAACTAATGCCCTGTCTTGTCATCCCATATTAACTTTTATTGCTGAGACAACATATTCTATTTCATTTTTGTGAATTGAGTGTTAGATTTTCAGAAGATCCTAAAATAGTAAGACTTCTTTTGATTTTAGTTTACTAGATTTGGCTTAGGGTTCATTAACAGAACTTGGACTTCAGGAAAAATACCTCTAATTAAGCAATCAGTATCACAATGATCCCAGGCCATCTCCTAACAGTAGGAATACCATAGGTCCTGGGACTCTAGCTACATAAGGACACCATCTAGAATGACTCTTAAAGCTAAGATGATACTGTAACTGGAATACTTTTGAGGCTGGAAGGGCCACTTTTAGTAATTATACCCTGACAACAGGCATCAATAAGGTCAGAACCCTACTTAAGGATTCAGTGGTTCACATCTACAGCTTTCCAGAATTGATCCAGAGTTCTGATGAAGACCAAGGCATCTCTGCCATTTTAAAAGTCAATTTATGTTCTAAAATAACCACTGATTGCCTCTTAGGAGACTATTCAAAATTTAGAAATGCACACACACACACACGCACACACGTACACATTAGTAGATATTAGGTATTTTTATTTATTGTTTTTCTTTACTACCTTTTTGGTAACTTTTATTTATTTATTTATTTATTTTTTGAGATGGCAGTTTCACTCTTGTTACCCAGGCTGGAGTGCAATGGAACGATCTCGGCTCACCGCAACCTCCGCCTCCTGGGTTCAGGCAATTCTCCTGCCTCAGCCTCCTGAGTCGCTGGGATTACAGGCACGCACCATCGTGCCCAGCTAATTTTTTGTATTTTTAGTAGAGACGGGGTTTCACCATGTTGACCAGGATGGTATCGATCTTTTGACCTCGTGATCCACCCGCCTCGGCCTCCCAAAATGCTGGGATTATAGGCTTGAGCCACTGCGCCACGCACACACCTACACATTGGTAGATATTAGATATTGTTTTTTATTGTTTTTCTTTACTAACTTTTTGGTAACTTTTATATATTTTTTAATTTTAATTTTTTTTTTGAGACGGAGTTTCGCTCTTGTTACCCAGGCTGGAGTGCAATGGCGTGATCTCGGCTCACGGCAACCTCCGCCTCCTGGGTTCAGGCACTTCTCCTGCCTCAGCCTCCTGAGTAGCTGGGATTACAGGCACGCGCCACCATGCCCAGCTAATTTTTTGTAACTTTTTGTAATTTTTTTTAGTAGAGCCGGGGTTTTACTATGTTGACCAGGATGGTCTGGATCTCTTGACCTCGTGATCCACCTGCCTCGGCCTCCCAAAGTGCTGGGATTACAGGATTGAGCCACTGCGCCCAGCCAGTAACTTTTATTAATAATCTCCATTGTAGCTTTTACCAAGGCTGACATCATGCCCAAATTCTGTAACTTTAGTAAAATAAAATGAATTTTGTTCTTTGTTTAATTGTTTGTAATGAATACTTTTCTTTTGGTTGATTAAAACAATTTTTGCTGGTGACTTTTAAGTAGTCCCACATGGATGGATTTTAAGTAATACTTAATTGGCAAGAAAGTTGAAGAACAAAAAAGTGATTAATTACTAGAGCCTGCAGGAATTTAAGGAAGAATAATTGACAGTTTTAGTTATATAGGTCTTTCTAGTACCCATAAATTGCTTAAACTTAAATTCTCTCTTGTCACTTTTATGGTTCAAACAAAAACAAAAATGCACTGTCTGTTTGCAACATAAAACATTGTACCCAGATTTCTGTAAAAATAGAGTTGTTTAGATTTTAAATGCCTAGTCATGTTGATTTCATGAAGATTTGGGAAAACTTATTCTATTGGGAAAAATTACTATGAGAGCTAAAAATAATAGATGTATCCTTTTTTTTCTTTCTTTTTTAAAAAGCTGGACCTGTGATCTGCAGAATGCTGAGTTATCCCCCAACTCGCCGAGCTTTAATTGTGGGTTGTGGCCTACAAATGTTCCAACAGCTCTCAGGCATTAACACCATCATGTACGTATTTCTTTCCGGCTTTTACTGAAAAGATTGTGAAAGGATTATTTTACATGAAACAAAGTAGACTCAGTGATTTGTTCTGGTTAAATATATGGATTATCCTTTGGGGAGATACTAACTTTATAATTTTTTAATTCCTGTAATTTGCAACTAGAAAGAGGTGATTTACTTTGTTTGTTATATTATTGGCTTTATTTGATTCCATATAATTTCTCTTTTACACCTTCCAATGCTTCTTTGTATGCTGAGCTTAAATATGTCATTTTTTTCTAAAGCATTTCACGATGTTGGTTGGAAATAAAATAGAAGGAAATCACCTGGCATTGCCAGAGACTACAGGCACACAGATAACCAATTCCTTTCTTTTTGGTGTAGTCGACTACATTGCAATGTGATATGGACATTAGGAGGTGTACATTTATTATAACCAGAGTATGGTAGAGGGGAGATTGAGTGGGATGGCAAGTGGAAAATAGAGAAAAGTTCCCTGTTTTCTAATTTGAAGAGTAATTCCCGAAGCTGTATGTGTGCTGGGGGTGGGAAGGACTAAATATTAGGGGCTCTACTAGGTTTCCCTCATTCAGTATTAAACCCATTTTTTAGGGCGTCTGTTGCACTAGACCTACAGCAGTAACTGAAGTAGACCTGGGTCTCGTCCTCATGGATGTACTGGCTGGTTGAGGAAACACACATTAAATAAACTCACAGTTACACAGAAGATTTCAAATTATGATAAGGGCCATACGGGACTCTTCAAATACTCCACAGAGTAGACTTTTAAGATCCTAAATAATAAAATGTAGATTAGAGAAGGTATGAGGTACCCCAAGGCACATATTGTTAGATTAAAAGCTGCCACATCTTAGAAGTCCTCCCCTCCCCACCTGTTGATTGAATTTTTTCATTAAGAAAATACAAATTATGTAAAATTAAATTTTCTCTGGTAAACCATTTGTATTTGAGACTCTTGATTTTTTTAATTACTTGGGATAGGATGAATTATTTCATGATAATTTGAGAAGAGTGAGTTGATTAACATATTTTTAAAAAATAAGGATTAGGACCCAATGAGCCAGTAGATTAAATCAAGATTAGTTAAGAAACTCCATTTTCTATACATTCACACACTTTGTGGATTTGACTTTAATCATAATCCCCATTAGACTTTAATTTTCGAGTCTGCATTTTTAATATTTTGTCCTCTCCTCCTTCTCTCTGACATTAACTTTTATTTTTCTTCACCTTTACCAGCTCTGTTAAGGCCCATTTGTTGGTTTGGTGCCCAGCATGTTTGCTTGTTTGTTCTCTGGATTTGGCACATCATGACTTGTCCTGAGATGCGTTCCCCTTTTGCAGTCTGGTGGAAGTATAGAATTGCAGCTAGGCTAGAACCAGGCATCAAATAATTAGATGCAGTAATAATCCTATGTGAATTCTTTAGTTCACCAATCTAATAAGTGTTCTGTTTCTGAAAGTATTTTTCTTGTACTTTTTTTGTTTTTATTTAAAGCAGGTATCACAGAGCCGCCTGTAGTTTATGGGTAGTGCCTGGGGCCAGTGTGTTCCTAGGTGAAATGATTGTCATAATCCATGAGCAGTAACTAGTGTAAATTGAGCTGATTGATGCTTCAGATTTTAATAAAGCATTCATTTCTCCAAAGCCTCACTTTTTTTCATGAAGACAAATGATAGAACGATCCTCATCTTCTCTAAGATTTATGATAGATGTACTTTGCTTATTATAAACTGCACATGATACAGATAGTGTTGTCATAGAGCTTTTGCTCGCATTTGATGATCAATTCTGGAAAATGGGAAGAATAAAACAAAGTAAATGATAGCTGAACTTAGACTGTGTCTACATGATGTAAAATAGCTAATCAGCTCCCTGAATAAATTAATATGATGTTCATGTCTAGAGTTTAGAGAGTTAGACATTAAAATAATATGATACCTATGCTGAATAACTGTTGTTTCTTCACAGTATGTAATTTCAGACATTCATATTATAAGCCCATAAAATTTAGTGTAAGTCAATGTCATTATGATAGACTGTACTACTGTTTACTGTCTGTATGAAAAATGACTAATGTGGGACTTCAATATAATGTGTTTTCTCCTGCTGTCTCTAATTCTCATTTCTGTATGTGTATTTGTATGTCTTTTTCTGTTATTCTCAAGATTAAGTAAATACTGTCATAAACTTTGTTTCTGATTGAAAATAATCTATTAGAATCTAAAAAGTTACTTTTTGTGTTTTTAGTAGAAATTTTAATTATGCTTTCTTTTATTTTGTTACTTTGTTAATTCAGAATATATTTTCCAAGGATATTTTATTACATATAACACATATGTTTATGCATATACAATTTTACTCTTTTTTTCCCCACCTTCTTCTCTTTTAAGTGGGCAGTAAAGCAGGTAATGCTTTTCTTTATTTTAATTCAATCCTAATAATGTGTAGAAGTTGAAATATGTTTTTAAAAATTCTTTCATCTCAAAGTCTGTGTGAACTGAATTATGTGGTATTTTGAATTCTATTTCTCACCAAGAAGAGTTTATAGAAAGATTACATGGAAAGACAATATTAAAGGTTATATTAAAAGATAAATCATCCTCACAGTTGTATTATATAATCTTACCATTTTAGTTTTTTCGCTTCTCCCTCAAAGAATCCTTTATTCTGCTTCCCTTGACCTATTTACTATTCTGTCTCAATGACATAGATTTTCTTCTTGAAATATCTAATTTTCTTTTCCTTTACCATGTTTATCTATAGATAGTATATCATAGATATAGATACATATTTTTTATTTGTATGATAATTATGTTTCTTTATATCCCAACCTATATACATTCTCATTCTCTACCCTACTGAATGGAGAACTTGTAAGGTCTTAAAAACATTACATATTTTAGACATTATATTTAACTTTTAGATGCGGTGATTATTTTATAATATGACTCTCATAACTTAATAATTTCCACATTATCATTACCACAACCAAAATACATGTGTTCATGTTTGGAGGAGGAAGGTGTAAGCAGGTAGTGAGAAAGAAAACACCAAATTCTATGCGGGTTTGATAATATCTTTCTTTTTTGAGGAACTTATAATAAACTATATTTTGTTATATTCTGATAAACAGATAATCAGTCTGTCTTGGATGAATGAAAGGTATCAGATTTTTACCTGAGAAGACCAGGTGGTTAAATGACTCTGTTTTAAGGTTACAAAGAAAAACAGTAGTAAAGTGGAAAAGAAAATTCAGAATTTTAAGCTTTTGAGTTTGCTTTGGATAAAGAGAATGTGGGGGAAACTTCTTTGGGGTCATTTATTCTTTTAAGCCACTCTTCTAGCAGACTAATATTGCCTTTATTTTCTCCTCTTACTCTTCTGTCTTTTATTAACTCAGAGTAAGAGTGGAGAGTGTTATCCCATTGTGTGTGGGCAGATGTTCTTGCTTTCAGAACTGCTTTACTTTAACCTCCAGGACTTCACTTCTTTCACTTTATTTACAAGAGACAGTGAAAGCCTTTAGAAAATATGCCCTGGTAATAATGTTAATAGCAGTCATTAAATCCCAGGTGCTACTCTAGTATGTGTTAACTCAATAGATACTAACAGAAAAGATAAAAAGTAGGACAGAACTGCTTTGAGCCCCTCAAATGGTGTATTTATTATGGTCATGACAATAATAAACATTTTTTTTTTTTTGAGATGGAGTTTCGCTCTTGTTACCCAGGCTGGAGTACAATGGCGCAATCTCGGCTCACCGCAACCTCCGCCTCCTGGGTTCAGGCAATTCTCCTGCCTCAGCCTCCTGAGTAGCTGGGATTAAAGGCACGCGCCACCATGCCCAGCTAATTTTTTGTATTTTTAGTAGAGACGGGGTTTCACCATGTTGACCAGGATGGTCTCGATCTCTTGACCTCGTGATCCACCTGCCTCGGCCTCCCAAAGTGCTGGAATTACAGGCTTGTAACTATTTATTATTGGCCACCACACCCGGCCAATAATAAACGTTTTTTACTGCTTTACGTATTTAACACTCTGAAATATCTTTGTAGACAGTATCTCTCTTGATCTTCCTAAACATCCTGTCAAGTAAGCAGGGCAGCTCTTCTGTTTATGCTCTAGCTAAAGAAGCGAAGGCTTAATGAACTAAGTGACTTGTCCGCCATCATACAACTAATAAGTTTTAGAGCTAAGGGTGGAGCCCAGTTTTCTGATGCCAGATCACATGGGCCACCCTTTAATTGTAGAGCAGCTGGAATTAAATAGTCGGACTATTTAAAGCTTGTCTGGGGATAAGGAACACAGTGAGTGATCAAAGTTTGTGAAATTCAATACCGTCCAAGGATTAAACCTAAAATGTGAATATACACCCCCACTGGAGAAGCTGAAACTCTGTTTGTAGGAGAAGTTTCTGACTCTACCTGGAGCTGAGTCAAGTTAGAAAGCCAAGCAAAATATGGGGATAGAGGAAGCAGCAGAAAGGCCCTGGGATCCCACTGGATCCCAGGCTGCCCATTCATGCCTGGCACCACAACAGTCCATCCAGAGGGTGGCCAGAGGAGCAGGGGATAAAACTCCACAGAGAAAAGGAATTCTCTAACTGAACTTTGTACCAATTTGAATGGGGCAAGGAACCTTGTGGCCAGAACTAGGGGGAGGACATGAATCGGGCATGCAGACTTTATAGGCGGGGGGAAGAACTAAAGCCCTTTTCTTTCACAGCTGGGAGGTAGAAATTTTCAAGCCCATCTCACCCTCCTCCTGAAAACAGACTTGGGGCTGTTGAGGGGGACACCGTGGGAGTAAGACCCACCCTTCACTTGTGTGAGAGCTGGGTGAGGCCTTTGACTGCCAGCTTTCCCCCACTTCCCTAACAACCTGCATGACTCAGTGGAGGCAGCCATAATCTCCTAAGTACACAACTCCAGTACCTGGGAAGCTCACCCCCCAACCCCCACAGCAGCCACAAGACCCACCC